TTCATTTTAAACTTTTTTCAACCTGCCGCTAGAGGGCGCTCTAACGTGTTATGACGTCACCGGTAATTTTTTTGTAAAATACAGACCAGCCACAGACTAACAATGTTGCCAGCAAGTTCACATCTTTTTCCAATTTTAAATTATATGGCACTTCGAGTTACTTCTGGTTTGGATGGGAAAGAAGGGTCATGCGAGTTTGCTCACACAAGATAAAATGAAGATCCTGGTTTATACTACCAATTCCCCCAAACGTCAAGTTCAGGTCTCTCACTGCTGATTTTATACTGATTTTCAAAGATTAAATCTATTAATCTTTAACGTGACGTCACATGACCCATGATGATGTCATGATGACATAACTCTTCAAGACACAACTAGGCTATAAGGACTATGTCTATGCTGACTTTGAATGATGTGCGACAAAGATTAATGCCAAAAGTGGCGATGAGACAAGACACGTGTACAAAGTCTATGGGATTTGGGTGACAAAAGAAGAAAGAAAACTCAGAACAAAAGGAAAGGCTTCCGCAACTATGCGGAAAGAGCCAAAAATCAGAACAAAAACTATTAGGCTTTTCTGCAAATTGCAGAAAAGCCAAATATCATACTTTTTAAACATCCTCTCTCAAACACCTTATTTGTATCTAAAGAGTCTAAAACTGTATTTTGATATAATATTTTAAAACTTGATCCATCATGTTGAATGTGTGAAAGACGTCTGACAAAATGTCCTTCCGAACGTTTTCATTTAAGGCATGATGTGAATTCTTTTTGCTTTATGGCGAATTGGGAGTAGCAGCCATTTTCCAGTCGTTAAAATCCTAGTTGCATTTAGCACGCTTACAGTAAACCACTCAATGTGTACGTATAGCCTATGGTCTCTATGGAATGACCGCTCTATAACAACGGATGGTACCCTACTCAGACTACATGGACAAACTTGAGTATGATGCGTTGTCCATAACACACGCATAGTGCTACTCATGTACATGACGTGTGGCAGGCTCAGGATGTCCAGCTATCGCGTGCTGGTTGCTAATTCGCTATGTATCTGCATTCTTTTCAACCGATTATGCTAGTGCGCACGAACGCCCAGAGGTTTGTGTTTTTTTGTAACTCTAAGAAACATGTTAATGTCAGCAAGTCAAATTTGTTCGAGTCAAGTCAAGCCACAAGTCATATTTTTTCAAGTCAAGTCAAGTCTCAAGTCATTTTTTCCTAAATCAAAGTCAAGTCTCAAGTAAAAAAAATAGCTACTTGAGTCCGACTCAACAACTCAAGTCAACAACATTGTCACTGCGAGAAGTTACTGAAAATTTCTCATGGAAATCAATCGGCCTCAAACTCGGCTTGTAGGTTCACATACTCAGGCGTGTCCAAATTTCACCAAAATTAAGGACTTTTTTATATGGTTCCTTCTTGAGTAATTTGTCTGCAAACGTACGGTACAAAGTGCCACTTCGTACTTCTCGATCAAGACTTTCTTCAAAATGGCCGACTAGTCTGTGCAGGCGCGCACAGCTCATTGCCCAAAAAACCTGACAGTTGTTTCATAAATTCAGGATATTTCATGAAACAACCGTTTATTTTTTTGGTGTGACGAGCTATGCACGTCTGCGCAGAGTTGTCGGCCATTTTGAAGCAAGTCTTGATCGGGAAGTAGGAAGTGGCTTATCTGCGACAGGGCTGCCACCTCTCACGCATTGAGCATGAGACTCGCACATTTCAGGTTGTTCTCACACTCTCACGCGCACACAGAATTTCTCACGCTAACAAAAAAAAACGAAAATGGTGTCTAAATGATCATTTATTAAAAAAAATACTGGTTAAACTGGTCAGAAATTGCCTAAGATCACGCCACAGAGCGACTGGAAATAAAAATATTTCGGGACCCTTATAAAGGGGGTTCCAAGCCGTTGGTGCATATGGCAACCGGTGAATTTGGATCGTAAAAGTACCATTTGAACAAACATCAATGGAGAAAGAGAATTTCTGCAAATTAATATCCAGAGCGGAATAAAATTTCTATGTACATGTATATTCTGTTTCAATAAATCTATAACGAGCGGGTTGTGAAACAGCGTAGCATGTTTCTGCAACAAGTTCGGCCATGGCACGGGTCGTACACAGTTGTTATGCACTTTGATACTGTGTCGTGTGCGCAACGCGATGTACGGCCAGCCTGAGTGAATAACATTGAGCATATGTGATGCGGTCAAGCTACATGAGTCGTTTGTCGACCCTGATCAATTTTTTTATTACAGATTTCAAAAGAGCACAATCTCAGCATTATTGCTGTGAAAACCGCATGCTGAAACCATCTTTAGTTCAAAACTTAAGGAAGTCTGAACACCAAGAGATGTGATGAAGTGGCCCTGTATCTCCTATTTTGGCCTGTATCTCCACATAAAAATTCCCAACAAACGACTCCTTTAGCTTGATCGCATCACATACATAAAGTGATGTGGACGTCTTAACTTCTCCATTATTTTTACGAATCACCCACATCAAATAGATTTTTGAATTAGTTGAGGCAAGTTTTTATAATTTTTGATGGCCACTCTCTTTCTTTCTGACCTACCGACCCTATTTTGGAAGGCATCAGAAGCAGACGTAATTTTTTCTTCGACTTAATTTCTTAATTTGAAACATACTTGTTATCCGTACTTTTCCAGTTCAGGAATATGTAATGTTTGTGAAATGTTCATTGTTTTTTTTATTACAAAAGAATATTATAAATCTCCTCTGAATTTTAAGGAAAAATCCATCTTACAGACCCCCCCCCCCCCTCCCAGATTTGCTCTAAAATGCACCGTAGAGCTTCTAAAGTTTAAACTTTTTGGGGGCCCTTAAGGGGGCCCTGAACCCCACGCCATGGCTTCGCAAGTTGTTGAATCACGACAAAACTTCCCCCAAATTCTCACTTTCTCACTAAAGCCATGTGAATCGATCCCTCACTTTTTCGAGCCGGCATTCCTCTGCGCATGCGCACTTATGTATGCAATATTACATGTACATGTTACATATTAGGGACCGTACACGAACCACCACGCATCGATCTGCGCATCAGTCGTGAACAGTACTGCACAACATTGTTTCTAAGTTGCCGCACGATCGCTCTTTCAATTTGGGAAGGTACTGATTGTCATCATTATTTGCAATCATGTCTAAAAAAAAAAAAAATTTAGGCCAAAAAAAATAATAAGTCGGTCTCTGGTCAGCGCACGCGTCGATTTAAATCATACGCGTCGATCTTTTTTTTCTCCAAAATGTTCCGCGGTAGCTCCAATAGCGCCCTCTATTTCCGCACCTCAATTTTTTTTTACCAAAGAGCACCAAGAAATGGGAAATTGCACCAAGGCAAATGATCGAAAGCACCAAGGCAAATTATGGAGGACACCAATGTACATGAGGACACCAAAAAAGCAAAATAGTACCCACCTTGTCTATACAATCCAAGCTTGAAGAAAAAAAAAAAAAAAGCAACAAAAAAAAAAAAAGCCGCGTGGCCGCGTCAATTCCAAAACTTTGGTCTGACCAGAGACCGAATATTTTTAATTTTTTTTTGCCTTATAAAGCAAAATATTCCATCTCAATATAGGACTCAACTTCAGAATTTCAAGCTACATGTACCCGTGCATGAACAGAATGAAGAAATCTCTTGTGTTTATACATGTGTTATTTATTATTTGGGGGTCTGATGACAAGTTTCACAAATATTGCAGGATCCATGCTGGAAGGGCAAATAAAACACATGCATGCTTTGCAATTATAATGCACATCTTGACATGTAAGATCATTTTGTTGTCATCTTATTCATTCATTTTGTTACTTAGTATCATAACACTATTACTTGTCATTAGCTTTTAACTATTAGAGATGCATTCCCCTTGCTATTTTCGAATTTCATCCCCATAAAAATGTCTTCCTTTAATTAAAGTGTTATTTTTCTGGCAGTAGGCGTACTAAAGTTATTCACTTTTGTATGAGACATGGCCAATGTTTACTGATTTGTATGCTTTTCCTGATAAATGAGGGCGCTGTTGCTGGGACGTCATTTCAGGAAGACACTGGGTGCATTCGAGTAGCTCACCCGGATCGACTCGGGTAAAGGCAGACAGGTTAGCCACGACAGCCGGGCTAATCGAACGCTAAACCGCAGGCCACCATGATCCTCGCGTGACGCCCGTAGCCGTTGCCGTAGCCACTGACAAAGCGCCCGTTTCGGAAATGGGTCTTGGTTTGAGATTTACTGCTTTTGAGTCAATTGCAAAACTAAAAAAAAGTTGGGCTGGAATTAAAGCCTCAAAAGTCGCAATGAACTCAAATGATTACCTTTACTTCAAATAAAGTTCATTTCTAAGTCCACTTGAGATTTCCGCTGTCCAGCAGCCATATTTGTCCGTTTCTTGGAATGATCAACGCATGCATGTGACATTTTTCCACCACTAACTCTGCTCACGAGCAAGGTTTGTGGTGGCTGACCCGGGTGAGCCCCGAGAATGACGTCAGGGCTAATTGGACACATCAGATGTTAAACATGCACAGTAGACTTAAATCCGTGGATAACGGGTGATACTCGGACTAACTGCCGTGTAGGTCTACTGAAACAATGACGAATCACCAAAGAAAAGAAAATTTGAGACAACAAAATATCTGAAATTCTGGCAAATTTTGGTGGTGAAATAGCTGTTACATTGAGGTTTCTGCATGAAATTACATCACACTTTTGCTAATGAATACCGGTATGTACATTTGCATTAGCATAAACACCAAAAGGGCACCAAAATGCCCTTAAAATAGCAAGTTGAAAATAAGGTTAAGTGGAACACAAAGGTGCATGTACAAGGATTGCATTAAAGATTTTTTTAAAAATTACATTACATGGACCCTCTAACTTTGATCACATTAGGCATTGAGAGAGTAAAAACAGCAAAAGCTCAGATATGTGTGCATCTATAGTACCGTACATTAATGCAAATTGTCTGATTTCCTTACAGGTTCTGGAGATCAAGAATATACCTCTTGTGTGTGATGCTCCTTGCACAACCATTTGGAGAGGCACACTGGCTGACTCTAGGCAATCTACTTTTTCCATATAAATATTAGTTTGTGTTCCATGTTACAACCACAAGACAAGCTCCCTTTGACGGGATGCTGTGAATGATGACATCTGCATATGCTCAGTCTCAAGAGTGATATTTTCCAGCACTACATGTAGTGCATGTAGCTGATTTTGACAATGAGAGAGTGGTATTGTGGCTGTGCAAATATTGCCTAATACTCTGAGTCTTTCGTGTCAACTGTTTATGTGAGCCTCTTCATGTCTGCATTATTCAAGTATGCATTGGTAAATAGAATTGGCTGTGGATTTCATAACTAGTGCTGTGCAATACGACTCATACTGAAACATACATCATCTGAGCATCGAGGAAGTTCACATGTGTTCTTATACACATGGTTGACATTCAACAACACTTCTTTGCATCACTGTGATGAATGTAATGATGGAGTAGTTGATATTACCTCTTCGGGACATACAATTTAAACACTACGTAACCTGTTAATGGAGTAACCAGGTGATGTCTTAATGGCGAAGTTGAATAACAGCATTTAGTGATCAAGCTCCCCTGTCCAGAAGCTGACAAAATGGTGAAGACATTCCAAGCATATCTACCAAGTTGTCACAGACGTTACAGCTGCATACACTGTAGAGCACACCTGGCTAACCATGACGACCTTATATCTAAGGTGAGACTTAGGTGGCCTTCATGGCTGATGAATGTTATCACAAAGCCAAGGATCAGGACCACACAAAAGCCTGCCGCACATTCCAGGCCGTTTGCTCAGTACGTAGCTCACAAAATATCCCTGTGTGCGATAAACTTTTGCTGATTTTTTTGCCTCTCGAGGTTGGGAGGCAAATATCTATCGTGTTTGATTTTTTTTTTGCCTCACAAGGCGAAAAACTCGGCAAGTGCGGTCAACCTGAGCTACGTGCTGAGCTAAAAAGACTAACTAGCCAATGAAATCACATACTCTGTACACCTGATTTGAAGAAATTTGGAGGGAAATGTTCCAAAGCCTGCTGGTGTTTGTCCCCATTATTTTAAATCATAATGTGCTTTCATTGGTCAGTTTAATAATCTGTTGAGCTCGGCAAGTAGCTCAGGTTGACCGCGCACGGGGACATTTTGTGAGCCGCATGTACGTGCTGAGCAAATGGCCTCAAATGCCATATCCCACATAGCAGTCAACAATTGTTTTGTTATTTCTTGTCAATAAGTGAAAAGACGAATATTTCTAACCTTGCAAGAAATAAACGAAATCACTGCGGTATAACCTATGATACCATAGCTGCAGGCTTTCCTGTAGGACATGAGACTGTGCGCTTGCATGTCTCAGTCACGAGTGCATTCGCAGGCACTATGCATGCGATCCCCTCGGTTTATATGTAGCACACCCATATGAGGTTTATTATGGAAAACAGTTTATATGCAAAGCAGTGGTTGTTTTTACCGACTGGACATGTGGCCATTATAGACTAATGAAATTACGGTATCCAAGCACACGATATAATGACAATTCAGTGTGTAACTTTGTTTGGTCACATCACACCACATTGGAATTGCTGCATGTACTTTTACATGGATACTTGCGTGGATGTTACGAACCACTGTGGTGTAAAAATCCTGTCGGCAGAATGGCCCAATCTGCCTCTCTTTACAAACACTTATAAAAAAATAGACGTTTATATTCATAAGACGTTGGTATTCATTAGATAAATTTGTTCAGATGTGGAGCTTTCACAAAGACAGAAATTCACCCTTTTAGTTTTAGAGGACGTTGCTTGTAATGTTTAAGGGTTTTTAAAGAATTTTATTATTTGACCCAAAAGATTTTCCACATACCGAGATTCTTTGTATCATTCATTCATTAACCCTAAAAGGGCCTGGTTATGTTGACCATCTCACAGGGGGGGGGGGGGGGATTGCCCCCCTAAGTTTTCAGCCATCAAGTGACAAAAAATTATGAAACTCAGTACATGCATAGAACAACATGAACATACCCAAGAAATTTTATGACCATAGGTCAAAGGGTTTTGGAATTATAGCTAATTAATTATTCATGTGCACTTATGATAACTCTGCTTTGTGTCCACTCTGTATATGGGAAATTCAGTTTTCACAGCGTGTAGGGCCGTAAAATTTCGCTGCACCACAAGCCGTGGTCCGAATTTTATGTTTTTGGTGTCAAAAGATGCGCAAGACTCTGCTAAAAAGTCAGGACAGCTCGGGTCGCGGGGGGAAAAAATTCAAGAGTATCACGGAAAAAGCCCCCTCAGCCCCCTCCCCTGGCTCATTTAGGGTTACCTTTTTGGCTATGGTCAGCTGATGTGAGAGTCGTTGCACATTGTTAGCTTTTCAGTCTGTTTGGAAATTAACTCTGCAGCCAAAAGATTTAGATTTGGTTTTCTTAAGCGTTCTCAAGTTTGCTTCTTTTCTTTTCTAATTATTTTTCTTTGCAGTCTTTCCAGGGGAGCCAAGGACGTGCATACCTCTTCAATTCTGTGTGAGTAGTAATTTTTATTGCTGCAGTATATTGTCAGCAAAACATTCTTATTATCAAATGGAGAATCAATGACATGTATCGTCAGACCCCCTAAAGCCACGTGGTCGTATTTCTACGCACTCCCCTTCGATTTTGTGTGTGACGCACATGCACTGCAAGGGTTACCCGCGCAGATAATGGATTAGCCTGCCATGTTTGTTCTTGACGTTTTCATCTATTCCCCAATAAGTGGGGAGTGAAAATCTTGTTTGGGAATGCCGTTCTCGTGTTGGTTCTCGTCATTCGAAAACCCTTTCTCGTGTTTACTCAACATGAGAACGGGGTTTCGAATATGCCCACAGTGAACGCAGTGTTACCAGCAACTTTTTGTGTGTATCATGCTTTATGGACGGCCACTTTACATTGTGTTTGTGTGCACTGTGCGTCTGCTCTTCTTTGTGGCTGTTGAGACCTGGACATTGTGAAAGAAAGAACAACAGTCCATTCAGCTTTCCATATCGTCGTGTCAGTGGGAAAAACTTGTTAAATTAAAAGATAAAGCAACTTCAGGAAGATGATATATTCGGAAACATGATAATATATTCGGAAACATGTATATGTTGAACTCTTTGTTATCCCGATTGATTTTAGATAAAAGACCTTTTAAACTAGTGAGATCAACACACAACTTTTTTTTGCTTGAGGCAACACGCTATATACTTGCGCCATCCCTAAAAACATCTCGGAATTGAACAGCATACAGTACTTAGTTTGTCCAACTCAAAATATGTTTTAACATTTCCTAAAATAAATATTTAGATACCTTTTTGGAATCAGAAATATTGCAGCGACGTAGCTTTTGATGTCATCGCGACATCTTCATTCAGCGTTCCTGATGACGACTTGAGTTAGAAATGTTGTTTGGGATTATAACTTCGGTAGGGGGTTGCCCTTGGGAACAGGCAAATAGGTTTTGGGGTCAAAAGGTCAAATTCAAGGTCATCATGGTGAGTTTAAGCTAAATGGTTTTCAGATGATAATCTGCGTTAGAAATGTGATTTGGCTTTCTAAATTAAGAAGGGGGTTGCCTTTGGGTAAAGGCAAGTTGGGATTGGTTTTGGGGTCTCGAGGTCAAAGGTCAAGGTCACAGCACGGTGAGCCAAAAGTTAATGGTTTCCGGATGATAAAGTTCTGGACTCCGGCTGAGGGGTTTCAACAGCAATGCTGTTATTTTTTCATTTCCTAGGAATTTGTACCAAGAAAAAAAGAATAAACTTTTACTGAAATGGGGTGCACTCAAATATTTAGAAATGATAAATTTGCAGAGCAGTATATTGGGTGTGTGAGGTCACAAAGATAGGAATGTACCAGTATGGAAATAGAAGATCTGCCTGGATCATCAGTCACTGTAGACATTTCTATTGTGCTATTAAAACTCGCCACATTGCTGTGTCTTTGTTGTTTTCACCTCTTGATGATATCATCTCTCATCAAAAAACATTGAAAAGATGTCCCCATGGGCTCTCTGTTCCTTTTCCTATAAGAAATAGTTAATTGTTTTTCATCAACTATGAAAAGATTAAGAAATTCTGTGTTTTATTGTGTATTCACTGTGGGATGTGTTGTAGTGATGTATTTGATATTAACTTGAAGGAATCAAGTGTTTGAGTTACATAAAGTTGTAAACAAGTCAATTCACAAGTTCTCACAAGTAAAACTGGGGATGAGCACTATGAAAGGAATTTCCTTGTCAGGGTTCATTTGAATATCTTCAGATGACTTTTGATTGACTTGTGATCCAAGTATCTTCACTGCAACACTTGAAGAATATCACGCTATCCTTCGTCCCAATTCAGTGTGAACATTGCCTGTGGCCCTGCAGAGGAGAGGGTTTTACTGACGGGTTTGCATGCTGTCTCAGACATCTTCTGTGAATGTTGTAAGACCACCTTAGGATGGAAATATGTGAGTAACTTGGCAAGTTCTAGTGTATATTTTTCCAGATTTTCTAACTGTAAAAACTACATGTAGCTGTTACTAACTTACTGTTTCCTTGTATGTCAAATGAAACCAATACCTAAAACTGTCAGGTCTCGGGGATTACTGGGAGATAGAGATAAAGACAAAGGATCAAAAGAAACCGAAGTCAATCTCAAAAGGCCTTTCCACACTAGAGCCTCTCAACTCTGGTTGAACCCTGTGCAAAACCAGTGCCGTCCCGGGTGGAGTTTTTGATTTTTCAACAGTGCTTTCAACTACGCATCCTTTCAGACTTGTTTCATGCAAAGTGGTCTTATTTCGCTTGCTTCAACCGTGGCAAGAGTTTCAACCCAGGTTGAAAATCTCAACCCTGGTCTGGAGTTGGGTTTAAATCAACCCGGGGTAAAATCATCTCAGGGTTGACGCAGGGTTCGAGCTAGCCTTGGTCAAGACGTTTGTCATTAAACTGATTTGCATAAAATAGTGGTGGCATGAGGTAACTGTTCCCTCTGCATTTTTAATGCACTGCATGCATAGCGAGGATATGCTGCCGATCTTTTACCGCGTACGGACGAATAATGACGAACGCCTTGACCAAGGCCAGAGTTATAATAACTCGAGTCAATGTCTCGACTCGAGTCCGACACGAGTCACAATTTTTGGTGACTCGACTCGACTCGAGTCCCTGAGGGCAAATGACTCAACTCGAGTCACTACGAGCAAATGACTCGATTTGACTGGAGTCTCTCATCAGAATGACTCAACTCGACTCGAGGAAGGCTCATAAGACTTAAGTCCCAAAAATAAAAGCAAAACTTCGCAAAAATATTTCCAATGACTTACACCAGTGCCGGTGTTTGTTGACTTCACGTTAGAATGTTCGCGAATAATGTATACATGTATGTTGTTTGATCAGTGTCCCCTTTAGTTGAATGGCGATCAGCTGGCACCCCCTTTTATTTCAAATGTGGTGTCACCACATGTAGTAGCCCGAATGAAAAATTTTAAAAGCCAAAAAATGACTTTCTCTTTTGTGTTTATGTATTGTATAGTGTTCAACTATTTGTGACTTGAATTGACTCAACTCAACTCGACTTGACTAAACACTGTGACTCGACTCGACTGGACCTTTTAGACCTAATGACTCGACTCGACTCAAGTCGAGTCACTTCTTTAAAGTGACTCGACTCGACTTGAGTCATAAAAATCAGTGACTCGTTACAACTCTGACCAAGGCTAGGTAGGAGCAGGATTGAAAATTTTCAAATGTGAAAAGCTGCATGTTTGCAATGTTACCTCAACCCGGAGATTTGTCTAGTGTAAAAAGGCCTTTTCGAGAGATGTTTTGAAATTGATATTGGCATTGCATTTCTCACAATTGTGGAAAAATGGGTTTTTTTGGGGGGGGGGGGGCTGGGAGGGGGAGGGTTGTGGGTGTGGGGATGATTGGGTACCACCAGTCACTATTTTAAAATTGTTTACATTTTTCTATCTACTTTTTTTTCTGGACAGTATTCAGGCATGCAACTTTTCCTTAGATACGCTGATTTCCTCCTTTTTAATGCCATTACAAATTGAAAAACACTGTACAAAGTCTTGTGTGCTTTGGAATTCCCTTGCTTTTTCTAAATTCCCAGCTGCATTCCTGAGTATTTCTAATCAGTGAATTGTATAAACGTGGAACATTGAACCAAGAACCCTGAATTGGAGGGGTGCATGTAGGTATCACATTTCTAGCAATTTGATCTTCATTCATTTATTTATAACTTGTGAACACTTTACTTTGTAATCTGATAGACAAGGGGTTAGTTGAGGTTCAAAGTTGAATGAATTCTTAATGTAAACAGTTCAAAAGCCTCAAAATCAAAAGAAGCTCATTGTCTTTTAAACAAGTAAAAGGATGAAGATGAAACCTGGTATGAACACGAACCTTTGTTCGAAGATATGAATAGTTTGATGCCGTTACCACGACATCACCCCTCTGCACACAAGTTCACTATGGAGTCTGTACCTAAGTTAAGTCTTATGACAAAAGTGACAGGCTCAATAAAACATGTACTGTAATTTTCAGAATATAGGCTGTGCAGAGTATAAGCCGTGCAGAGTATAAGCCGCAGCACGCAAAATCTGCAAATTATGATATGAAGTTGGCGTATTAGCCGCTCCGGCGTATAAGCCGCACTGGCTGCAGTTTCAATTTTGTAAAGCCTCCAATTTCAAAAGTCAAAGCTCTGGACCAGTTCTTTTTACACTACACGAGGCCAAAAAAGTTATATCAAAACATTTACTCTTAAAATAAATATGTAAATTGACGATGAGAAATAACAGGAATTGCTGCCGGCTGGCCTAGCCAGTACCTAGCCTTAAAGTTAGCGCATGGCCCGGCAGCCTGTGCCAGCACGGCGAATGACAACATTTCCCCCCATCAATAAGAGAGTATACAACACACCATACCCTACAAATCTTGCTTTGTGGCAATAGATGTTGATTGTATGCGATTTGGGGTGGGACAAATAGAAAAAGGAACATAGGGTTTTTCTGCTTTACAATTTTTAAATTTTAAATTTAACAATTTAGTAAACTTGACCCCGATTGGCTGGCCAGCAGGGTCAAATAAATTTGCATGCTTGGATATCAGACATTGGACCGGAGACAAGGTCTCCGTGGACAACAGGTCAATTGGACTTGTAGTTTTCAAGATATACCGGTACCAGTAGGACAAGTGTGCACCTTCAAAATTACGTCGCATGACCACTGATGAAATTGAATATTACACTTTGGACGGCATTTTTTGGTAATAGCAGGCAACCATGTCAGATCATTCAGTCGTAGTGTGGGGAAGAAAATGTAGGTGGATGCCACCCTTAATTTGACCCAAGTATACCTAATTTGCATGAATTGGTAATCATTGCCATGTAATATTATTCCCATATTTGGATATATTTAACTGTTTCGGTGTGCCACTTTTTTCCCATAGGATAACACGTGTTTTCGTTCTACACAGCACTTTGGGACTTTTTTCACATGCGATCGACTTCAAACCTGGCACACACTGAGGCCACCATCTGAATATTCAGGCCGAATCATGACGTCATCATGACGTCGTCACATGACATCATCCGAATAGTGCATATTTTAAGGCCCTATGTCTACAGAACCGGAATTCCGATCAGGTTCAAACTCGGTATGAAAGTATTCCGGGACGTGTTATAGACAAAAATTGAAGTGACGTCACGATGACGACGTCGTCATGACGTGTGATTTTATATGAATTATTAAATTTTTCGGACCTTTTACTCATATCTCATCAACAGAACATGGTAAATTCGAAATTGTTTTTGTAAAAGGTTTGTTAGGTCATAGATAGTTGCACACAATTTCGTGAAATGTTGTGACGTCATCAAAAACGTGATTTTTTTATTCACACATAAGGGTATGTCCGATCGTTATGAAACTTGGTGTGAAGGTAGATAGTGATAAAAGCATTGAAAATCTGAAGTGACATCATCATGACGTCATCATCTGATTTTTTATTAATTTTTAAAAATTTAATGTTTTCTTCTAATTAACAAAACTTACATAAACTACGCTCCGATCGACTTCAAACCTTGCACACACTTAGACCACCATCTGAAGATTCAGGCCGAATCTTGACATCATCATGACGTCATCACGTGACGTCATCTTACAATTGTATAGTTTAAGTCCCTATATCTACAGAGCCGGAGGTCCGATCGGGTTCAAACTCTGTATGCAAGTATTCCGGGAAGTGTTATAGACAAAAATGCAGTGACGTCACAATGAGGTCATCATGTGATTTTTGCATGAATTATTCAATTTTTGGACCTTTTACTCATATCTCAACAACGCAATGTGGTAAATTCGAAATTCTTTTTGCAAAAGGTTATTTAGGTCGTAGATAGATACAAAAAAATTCCAAAACATGTGTCACGTCACCATGACGTCATGAATTTTTTTTTTTTTTTCAACATCTGATCCATACTTGACCACCATGTATGTAATACTCATGTACTTGGTCATTCGACTTGGATGAAACTCCTTTTTAAAAACAAGTTATTGCTAAAATGGTCGAAACTGCTCAGTGTTTGTCCACAAACATTTATAGTTGGCTTTTTCGCAAATTTGTGAAAAAGCCTTTGTTTTTGTTCTGATTTTTTTGTTGGCTTTTTCGCAATTTGCGAAAAAGCCTTTCTTTTTGTTCTGATTTTTGGCTTTTCCGCTGAACAGCGGAAAAGCCTTTGTTTTTGTTCTGATTTTTTTTCTTTCTTCTTTGTGATCTTTTTGGGTCCAACCCAAATCCCATTGACTTTGTACACGTTTTTGGTGTGACACACTTTTGACCTAAAACAAAGTCCTATTGCAATGAAACTTATCGCAGGTAAAGACCTTATAGTGAAGTTGTGTTCGAAGAGTGCCGTCATGATTACGTCATTACAAATGTGCATATTTTGAAGGTCAATATCTACAGAACAGTAAGTCTGATTGGGTTGAAACTCGGTATGTTTGTGGACCGGGATGTGTTATAGGTGAAAATTGGGGTGACGTCACAATGACGTCATCGTGCGATTTAATATAATTTTTTTGAATTTTGGAGCTTTAAGCCATATCTCGTGAACGCAAGATGCAAAATTGAAAATTCTTTTTGTATTATGTTTGTTAGGTAATATGTGTATGCCCAAAATTTAGCAAACAGTGTGACTGTTTGCAAACACGATGACGTCATCATAAGGGAAGGTCCAATTGTCATGAAACTTGGTGGATAGGTAAATGGTGTCACAAGTATGCAAAATCTCAAATGACGTCACCATGACGTCATTGGTTGTTTTTTTATGATTTTTTTAAATATTTAAAATTTTATTACACTTAAAAAAATTTACACTTTGTTTCATTGGATCAACGTCAAACTTGGTGCACATCAAGACCGCAATAAAAATATTTGCATTGACAGGTGTTGTAACGATGAC